ATCTTGCAAACCTGGAGCCATCTCTCTCTGTCTATCCCATCTCTACCCCAATTAATTATGTTCAGCACCAGCACTGCTTCCAGGTAGGCAGAGCCAGCTGGTTCCCGGAGGGCAAAACCCATGTCTTCACAATGAACTGCAACTCTCAAGGTGGGCAGGGACCTGAACTAGCATTGCTCACTGGGAGCCTCTCAAAAACTGGCCCTGTGGGGCCCCATTTTTCTGACTAGCTGCTAGATGGTCTGAAATATGCCTGCATTTCCTCATTGTGGCCCGTTCCTAGATTTTTCAATTTGATATGATTGAAATAAGGGTTCTCTGAGTAGATGTGCTCCACTCAGGCACGTGTTCTCTTTCAGTAAGACTAAAGGCCTCCAGCACTGTGTGTACTTTCAGTGCTTCCTTTAAAACAAATTGTAACTAACGTTTTTAATGGGAAAGGGGTATGGGTATGTGGGACTACAAGGTAGCCAGGTCAAGAGGGCATGCAATGAAGAGTGACTTCCCCACCCCTCACCCCAAGTTCCCTTCCTCAGAAGCTGCCAGATGATATTTTGGCTGTTTTAACCAGGGCTGTGTAGAGCCAGCATGCTGGGGCTTTCGTGAGGGTGCCAAGGACTTCAGGGAGGCCCAGGTGCCAGGCAAAAAAGCCCAGAAGCAGTCTCGCACATGTGCTGCCCCAGGTGGCACAGCTGAGCAGACCCATGGGGATGCTGGGACCGAGGCCTTTACCCTGATCCAGTCCATGCGGGGACCTTTCAGAGATAATAAGCTCAACCACTGTGTAAAATATTTTTACCTGAAAAGATGGGCTTGCCCTCTTCTGGATGTGAGGTAGGGGCTCTTACAAAGATGTAGCCTTTCATGGACCTGTGAGACCCCCACTGGACATGGCGTCAGTGACTACAGACCAATTTTTTCTCCCTTTCTTCCACCCATTTGGTCATTTGGTCATTTTTTAAAAATTTTTTATTAAAGAAATAACAATAGCAGTGCTATCACCATGCAGGAACCACTGAACCACAGACCCTCGGAGATCATATGAGATGCAGTCTTGATCCCATTATGAAGAACAAGAGAAATCGGAGTCTGGAATTCCAGCTCGGTTAAAGTATGCATCTTAACTGGTTGTCAAGCCTGGAAGAAGAATCAGTTCAATTCCATTCTCGTGGTTTACTCTTCCTGTCTTTTCTGCAAACAGATTCATTAGTTCATTTAACAAGGGCTCTTTGCCATAACCTGGGGTGTTGCCCCATGAAAATACTGGGTGATCATGGTTTCCAATTATGAAATAAGGAGAGCATTTTTTGATTAATGGCACATAAGAGCAGAACCCCCTTGCCCCTTTTCTTTTCTTTTCTCTCTCTCTTTTTTTTTTTTTAGCAAAAGTAAGCACTTAGGAAAGGGACCGGCTGCATGCCCGCGATTGAGTCAGATGTTCTTCCTCTCTGGCATTCGGCAGCATGCTGCTCTCTTCTTGCCTTCCCTGCAGCTCTAGGTGGGCCCCATGCCATGCAGGCCCCTTCCTTGGTATTATTTCCCTCGCAGGAAGTCATAAATATTGGCTGTCTGTCTCATGGTTATGGGAGGTCCTCAATGGTGGGAGACTCAGCCCGCCCACAGACAGGTCGTGCATGGAGGGGAGGAGCTGGGTGAAGGCCTGGAGACTGCATGAGAGTTGGGTCTCTTTCCTGATCTGTGGTTCTCAGTGTCCGAAGGTGATGTTATCGCTCAAATCAGGCAACTGGGATAATTGGATGGAAGCCGAGAAAGTGTGAACTCCAGAAAGTGGAGGCCTAGCAGGGAGATTAAGAACAATGCTTTAGAGTCAAACAGACCTGCGTTTGGAAGCCACAGGTGTTGTAAAGATTAAATAAAATCGTGCATGAAAATGGTGTAGCACAGTGCGAGGTATATAGTGAGTGTTTAATATTTGGTAGCTGCGAGTGGTGGTACTGACGGGAATCAAGTGCTCAGAGAGCCCGAGCTAGAACTCAGGGTTGCCACACGGCAGGCACACAGGGGACAACCATTTGTTCATCCTGTTTGGTTTCTTTTGTGTGCATGAGTACTCGGGCTCCTCGTAGAGTTTCGGAGTCATCTAAGTGAGCTCTCTCTCGGACTGCATTCAGGGAAACAGGTGCTTGGTCCCCAAAGCCCTGGTTGTCCCGAGGTGTTCACTATAGCACAGCCACATCACAGCGCCCCTCACAGGGCTCCAGGGCCACATACACCGCAGGGGCCTGCTCCGGGACCCCTGAGCAGGAGGGCATGGCTGGGGGTGGGCCATACTGGCAGCGAGGGTGGCCCACAGGAGATTGGGATTTTGTCGGAAGGACAGTGGGGGCCACTGCAGGAGAGTGGTGTGCTCAAGCCTGTGTTTGGATAGACGACTCTGGTAGCAGGACCGGGCTGGTGAAAGCACAGGCAAGGAGACCGACCATGACTGCAATTATCCAGGCGGGAGAGAAGGTCCTTATGAAAGGGCCCTGGAATAGCTTTGAGAACTAATGGGCAGGTCTGCATGATCGGCTGGAAGTGGGAAGGAAAGGTGGCTCCTAGGTAATGCCATTCCTTGGAAAGGGGAGGAAGAGAGGAAGAACAGGATGGGGCAGAGCGGGGAGGGCTGGAATTATGGAAACAATCATCTAGGGCATACTGTTTGAAGTGTCTGTGAGACGTACATGTGAAGCGGAAGAGCTGGCATTTAGGAAGGCCTACCTGTGTGTCACTGTTTTAATGTGCTAAGCCCTTTACACGTATTGTTTTATGTATTCTAACAGCCCTATGAAATAGGTGCCATTATCTCCATTTTACGCATGAGGAAGTTGAGGCTCAGTGCGATGAAGGAGCTTGACCGAAGTGCCACAGGTGGGAAGGAGTGGAGCCACAAGGTGACCCCAGGGTGTGTGGGCTCAGCACCACAGGCTCTTAATGTCTATACGACATGGTGACATTTGGACACCTGGGTCAGGAGCTCCGGGTAGACCTCAGCTGTAGCTGTAGCTATGGAGTCATCTGAGGCCAGGAGCGCTCTTAGTGGAGGGCCAGCCAGGAAGTGTTTCGGCCTCCAACATGTGCACTGGATTAACAATCAGGTATAACTAATCACATTGCTGAAGTGCCCTCAAACTTGGGGTGTAGAAGACAACAGGCTGCATCTTAAGCACCACAGCTCAAGGCCCACCGCCCCCTCCAGGGTGTTTATCCAGAGGAAGGAGGAGGCAGGATGAAGTACTCGGACTGATCGCAGCTTTAGGAGAAGACCCCACGAAGACCCAGGGGAGAGGGCAGGTCCCAGTGCCAACCAGACCTCCAGGAGGCCAACCCACGGCAGGGAGGGGTGGCACGCATGTGTTAGGCTCACAGGGGGTCTGAAGGAGAGGAATCTGAACTGTTCTGCAAGGGACTGCCCTGGCAGGACTCGCCTAAAGCTCACTCTTTTCTAATGAGTAAGGTTAGTGTTCTAAAGATTCAGATAAACCCAAATCGTATACAGCTGATGCCCTCAAGGACAATAGAGGTCATCTCATTCAATGCCCCTCACTTTCCAGATGAGGACATTGAGGCCCAGAGAAATTATGTGACTTGGCCAAAACTGTCCAGATGTAGTGGCAAGGCCACCACTTCTGTCCCAGGATGGCGTAAAGCAGACCTCAGGACGGACACGGCAGGTGCCTCTACCTACCGAGACTGTGGAGCCATGACCTTCGTGGGCTTTGAAAGGGGCTCCCGGTTAAGATGGTGGCCAGTTTCTTTCCCTCTGGCAAGCAAGGCAGAGCCTGTGGGGGTTCTCCCAGAGCTTTCCTTTCTAGCCCTTTCACTCCCCTGGATAACTGCAGCCACGTTCTGCAGATTAGATGTATTAAGTTGGAGAGCCCCGGAGACTGCCCTGGCAGGACTTGCCTGAAGCTTACAGGAGAGGCAGAATCAGAGAGGAGGGAGCTCTTAGGCTGAACTCTGCCATCCTTTCTGTGAGCCCCGGCCCTCGCTGCTGTGGCCACTCCTGTCCCAGTGTCCCTCAGCCTGCACAGGTGAGGGCGTGTGCAGACACGGACGCCGAGCTGCAGGACGCTGGCTTCCCACGGGGCCTTTGCTGCGCTGCTCGTGAAGAAATCAGCAATGCACCTGGTCACTCCACTTGCCTGAGGTTGGAGATTCCCAGGCAAAGGTACACGCGGCTCCCTTTGGGTTGTCCTGCCCAGTAGTGCGACTCCTGGACCAGCCAGCGCCATCAACATGCCCTGGGAGCTAATCAGCAGTGCAGACTCTCAGTCCCCACCCAGACCTACTGCGTCAGCACCTGCACTTGATAAGGCTGCCGGGAGATTCCTGGTGATGGTGCAGGGGGGCCACGCTGTGCTAGGTGCGTGTTGCCAGATCAAAGGCTCGTTATCCAGCAATTTCACCCACCTAAAGTGCGGCCAGCAAGCACGCCAGGCCCTCTTGTTCACCCCCAACCCAAATCTTCAAAAAAGACAAACGAGGATCAGAAGGCTAAGCAATAAAGCTCTTTGATTTACTGGACAAATACTCCGGCTTCTCAAGAAAGGAGATCGAGGCACTACTGTTTGAGGCTCTTGCTACTGGGCAGTGACACCCCAAGGCCTCACAAGGCATTGCTGCCATGTCAGGCTATCAGATATCTGATACCACCCGGATGACTCTGAGTGAGTTACCCTGTTAATGCACATCCATCCTTCTTAGATCATTAAAGGACAGACCATCAGGCAATACATTTTAGATATTCTTGAGAAAATGTTTGGAAGAAAAAAAGTGCCAGCACAAAAAACGTTATCTGGAAAGTTAATTTGTGTGCAACAGCCCTTTCTTCCCCCAATATTACCAGATACTTGAGGCTGTCCTATATCTCCACAGCTCTTACGATTTTACTGATGAGCTGGCTTCCCCTTTCCCCCACCCTCCTTCCCCAGCCAAACTAAGTATTTTCGGTGGTTCCTGCTGGTGGTTGAGAAAACACACAGGAGGAGGCAAGGAAATGATTTTTTTTTTAGACTTTTTTTTTTGGTTTGTTTTTAAAGAAACTGCATACATCATCAGAGACAAACAATAATTTAAATACCATGCAGTTTCTGTATGTACAAAACTTAGGCCATAGAGATCCAGTTTAATTTGTATTCTATTTACATTGTCTTCCTCATACAGCCGTCATCTGTTAAATTAGAACACGGGAGAGAGCTCCTATACAAAGACAAACTATGTACAGATACCCGGGAAGCAACTGGAAAAAGCAACCGGTTTGGGGAGTAACAGACAAATGGGAAGAAAAAGTCAGTTAAGGGTGACCTTCGCACACTGGCTGCGCACAGGAAGAGCCGGAAACTCCATTCATTGAAGCACACACCACAATTTTCATTCGGCAAATATAAATACACGTTCATAAGCACTATGAACAGAGTTCATAAGGAGAAACACTCAGGTTTTCACCACGTCTACTGTCACGTCGTTTGGTTTCTCTAATCTGACATAAAGGCTAAAGTTTTTAAAGTTTTCCAGAGCTTTGAGGGCCTTTGGGAGGAGCACAGCGATTTCAAAAGAGCACACAGGCCGATCGGGGGCAGTTTCTTCTGTCACAGATGCAGTGGGCAGGTCGGGGCAATGTCTCATTTTTGAGTGGGAAACACTTTGAGCTGAGAAATTTCACGTTTTTCCTTTCACGCTAATCCAAATGACAAAAGGCTCAATTGGGAATTTATACACACAAAATAAACCATTACTCGAACACTGCAACTTTTTCAGAAAAGGGACACGTAAACCAGCTAGCCCATCATTCATTCTCTCTCTCTCTCTGTTTCCCTAATGTCAAATTGTCATCTTGGAAAGTAATACACCTTCCAATTGTCATAACAATGTGGTAAAAAAGAAATTTGGATTTCTATAGACCTCGAGATTTCAAGAAAGGAAAGAGGCAGCAGAGGGGCCATCCTGTGGTCCACTGGGGTTACTGAGCCACTTATAATGGGCTTGAAACTGCCCACCTTCATGGTGGGTGAGCTTTCAGTGGCATGGAAGGTACACCCCTAACTCCTGCAAGTGACTTCTGGAGAAAGGTGCTCTGCAGGAAGAGAAGTGAAAAATGTGTACAATTTCTTCCATGCACAAAGTGGACTGCAATAATGGGGCACTTTGGGCAGAAAACCTGGACTGCTGGCTGGCTGCAGGGAAATAGATTTGGGCTTCATGTCCCCAGGAAATGTGAAAGGCCCAAGAACCAAGGCCAGCAGAGAAGCCACTGGTCCTGGTGGGAGGAGTCCAGGTCACGTAATGAGTTCTCTGAGGACTCGCTCCTGGACCAGGGGAAGGCCTGATCGTCCTGCCTGCGCACTGCAAGTTGCCCAAAGCACAGCTGCGAGTTAGAGGAAGCTCAGACTCAGCTCCCAGCAAGGCTGGCAGTTCTGCCTGGAACACGTGCTCGCCGTAGAGAAGTTCAATGGAAGAGCCCTACATCTTTCGTCATACCATTTGCACATTCAAACGTCAGTAAGCCTTTTGGGAAGACAGTGTTTACAGCCACACTAAAATCCTGACCACACTTTCCCTGAACAATACTTCTACCCATGGCAGTCACTATTCAGAGTCAACATTCAAAGAAAAAAGGATCTGGTGATGGTGTCCTCCTGGGGCTGGGCAGTGGCACTCACTCCAGGTGGTGCAAGGAAAGCACAGGACGGCTTTGCTATGGCTGGTGGGCACGGCCTAAAGAACTGCCCTGAGCTCCCCCACAATATGCACAGCTCCCGGGTTGATGCTGGCCGCAGGAGCCCTGAATGCCTGCAGAAGAGTAAATGGCCTCACCATTGGGTGTGTATCCCAAGAGTAACTTGCTTCCCACACAAGTCAGGGTGGGGACTGGGAAACCCTTTTTTTGGGATGGCCACGCTGGCATTTTTGTAAATCCTGGGCATGTGTGGTGGAGAGCGAACCATCACCTAGAAAGATTGTGGAAACTATAAGACCACTACAGAAGGCCCGGCAGAGCTCTGTGAAGGAGGACCCTACAAGCTCTGTCAGGAAAGAAAACAAAAGAGGCTGCAGTGGGCCTCATGAAGATAGTTGTTAGGATTTGGGACTTGTCCTTCCTGTCACTGTACATGCTACCCTCGGTGGCCCTCTTCCAACAGAGCACTGCTTTCCTGTGGTCCCAAGTGAGGAGGACAGTTAGCGATATATCCCCAGTCACCCTCACCAGCATCATGAGGGCAAGGAAAGGTTCTCTCTGGATAATGGGAGCAGGAAGTACAGCAAAGGCAGGCATGGCTGATGTTCGCACAATTCTGCCATATGCCAAACCCTGGGGATTTTCCTTAAAAACTCTTCAGTGCAAAGAAAGGACACGTGAAGGCCATCAAGTGGTTCTAGAGCCCTGGTCCCTCAGTGACTGGAAGGCCAGTCTTTCAGGACTGGTTTCTGGCCTGCGTGCATTGGTTCTATACTCAGAGGCCGCTGACTTCCAAGCCATCTGGTCACTGGCCCTGGGGCACGCAGAGCAAATAAAGACCATCAGCCAAGCAGAGTTTCTTAGCCCAGCCTTTATGCCCTCCATATGGTCCTTATGCTCATACGCATGCCACAGGCTACCTTAGCAATGGCTGTTTGTGTGCACAAGGTCACCTGTGACATTTGGCTTTTTAATACAATGGGTCAATTCATTTGAACTGAGCAGATGACAACTTTCCCCTTCTAAACCAGAGCTTCCTGGAAGGCAGCTCAGCTCAGGATGGGCACTCAGTGCCCGCCTTCCATGCCTGAGCATACACTCTTAGGACCAACAGTCAACCACAGACTCCCCCAAAGGGCTCTTCCTTTTAGTTCACTGCATGGAGGGTGGCTAGAGGGAGAGAAAGGACAGGGCAACTGAGAATAGGGCTCCTGCTCAGCAATGTCCTCCTGGAGGACCCCAGACCAGATGCCATGCCTGGAGCCAGTGTGCTTGGCCAACTCTAGAAGGCTAGATCATTTGCTTCGCACAGTAATTCCCAGACCAAACACACCTCCTCAGCTTTCTTGGAATTAGGTGACAGACACTTTCAAGGAAGAGGTCCACCGGAGCCTAAATGAATGTGGTGCCTGCAGGCCTGGCCGGAGAGGACCAGGGCTACTCCGAGTGCTGGAAAGTCTTCTGTCAGGCCCTGCCAGTGCTCTCGGTCCTGCTGGGACGGGGACAGCTTGGTGTCAGCGGTGGTGTCAGCACTCTGACCACGGAACGGCGACCATCGCATTTTTGCACATAGACTCCTGATTGTGTTTCCTTTTATTTTTCTTCTTCTTCTTTTTATAAAAGGCAGTTCAGAAGATTTACATTGTAATGGGGAAGTGAATAAATACCAGCACTTATGGTTCTGATAAATTTATGTTTTGAAGACAGCATAGCACTCAAGAGGAATTCGACTGTTAAGGTCGGTGAAACCTAGGAAAACAAATAATTAAATCAAGACAAGCAGCTGTCAAAGATGTCAGTTTCCACAGTCTAAGCTTCCCATCTTCAGAGCTCTTGTTTCTGACAGTGAGAGGGAGGTTTAAATCTCAGAGCAGAGGCACATCTCCACAGAACTACTCAAGTGCCCGAGGCCCGCTGAATTCACCTTTCGTTCCGGAATAGTTTGATCTGAGGCTCCTTGGGACCAAATCGGATAGCCCAGGTAGCCCTCAGCCTGGACTCGGCGATGAGATGGAGAACGCAATCTTGTGTCACCCAGTCTAGGCACCATTTCTCTCAATGTGCATCAAAGGAGAGTGTCCTAAAAACTGTCAACGGCTCTGTCACTGACTAGCCATGTGACCTTACATAAAGCCCCTTAAGTCTCTGCGTGCTTCAGTTTCCCCAACTATCATCACAAAAGACCGTCTGAGAGAATGACATGGAATCACAGAAGTGAACTCTCCTCAGAAGCACCATGTGGATTTGGTGTTTGGCCTCTGCTGACTCGCCATGATCTTTTCTCCTCAGCTTAAGCTGTCCTAAAAACCCACTTCGGGCTCCGTGGTGGTCTGGCACTTAGATCTTGGGTTTGAGTGAGTTAACATGTAGGCATTCAGAAGGCGGCTTTTAGCCTGGGCCTTTAGTGCCCCGTCCCCCAGTTTCAGCAACCACAGTGGCACCTGATGCGAACCTCTCTTTTATCTTCTCCCTCACTGTGCCCACCACACCACTTGTGATCCAGAAGCAGATAGAATAGTTGAGTTTGCAAGTTAAGTATTACAGTTGAGGAAAGAAAAAAGAAAACACAAAAAACCACAACTCAATACTAACCTTGTTAGATGTCTACTTAATTCATGAACTTCCATTTCAGTGCTTTTAAATTCATTGAGCTCCTTTCGAATGGCAGCCTGGAGTGAAGAGAAGCCCATGAATATATAGAGGGGACAGATGGGAAGTTGTTTACTTTTTATTTTATTTCTAACAATATATTTTTTTCTTTGACAAAGTCATACAAAATGGATTGTTTCATTGGGAGAAAAAAAAATCACCTGAGATATCCTTTAGTACCCACTAAGACTCCCCCTCCCCCTAAATCTAAGTCGCTAGTGAGCCCATATGGGCCATGGCCCGGAGTGTCCTTTTCTTCCTCCCTTCACAGGGCTGTTTCATTGAGGCATCGACAATGCATGTACACCTTCCTTACACTCCTGGGCTCCCGGGTATACATTTAAATGTCAGCCTCCCATCTTCCTTGAGTAAATGACCTAAACTCATCACAGGTACAGCAATGCCTCCTGAAGGATACTCCGAGATAAACCTGAATAACCTCATCCTTACAGCTCTGCCCACGCATGGGATATGGCTGCAGCCCACGGGGGAGGGCTGGGTAATCAGATTGCAAAGAGAGGCGAGCAGGGTCTGGAATAGAAGAATGCCTGGGGTTGGAAAACTACCCTCCCTTCTTTCCTCAGGGGCTGAAATTTTTAAACATGTGCCCTTTTGCAGAGCTCTTTCTAAGGCTGATATTTGCTTTGATGGGAATATCAAGGCACCGAGAGTTTGAGGATGGACAAGTGTTTAGGTGGGGTCAGTGTGGCTCCCTCAGGTAAGGAAAGCACATTCACGTTGACCTGCTGAGTTATAAGCTTCCGGAAGGCACCACCTCGTGTCTTCCATCCCCAGCAGCCTGGGCGGGACTGGATGGGCTCCCCTCTAACTGCTTCAGAACCTGAGCATGGGCCTGTGGAGATGTCCTGTACTTCCCTTTGACATTGGTGGATACCCTCATCCTCGTAAGCAAGCCCACTGCAGTGAAAGTGAGAACAAAAGAACAGGGCCAAGGCCCTCCTCTGTTGACATTTATGTACATGACACAACTGCCTTGGGGACTGGTTCTGTCGTGTGCATCTTGGGGCCATTCCTGGGCTCACTCGCCATGAATTCCTTCCTGTACAGGGAAGAAATGAGTGCTATGTTGAAGAGGAGGGCAGAGTTTTCCATACGTCAGGATCAGAGGGGTTGACCCACATGGGGGAGGCCATTTCCGGGAGGTCTCTGCCTCTGGCCATGTCAGTTTCCCCCATTGCAGCAGCTTCCCTGTGCTTCCCGGAGATTCCTGGATCCAGTCAGAGTCTGGGCTGTAGCTGATCTCCTCCTGTATTGCTTGTGAAGGAGCCACTGGCTCTGGGAACATGTGGGACAAGGGCAGAACTCTTTAGGAGAAGGTCCCGGTGTACTCCAGTTACCCCACTGTCTCTTGCACATTGGACATTGTCGTTATTTTAGACTAGTGTTAAAAAAGGCCCTTTGCCCTCCAGTCCTCATGGTGACTGGACTAGACTCACAAATGATTACCCAGCAGAGGTTCATTTTGATACATGGTCTAATGGACAGATAAGAATGACTAATCATTTGCATCTCTGCATTTCTCATGAAACAGAAATCTCAACTTCAGATTATTTTTACTCTTTCTGCTTTCCAAATCAATAAGGGTTTAGTGTAGCGAGGCATGTTTTGCTGTCCCTGTGATTTGTATCTGTTTCTCCCATTAGGTGACAAGCACTGCAAAACACAGCCACTCTGTCCCGTCGGTTTTGTGACTCCCCTGTTGGGTGCCGAGGATAGTATCATCTACACAGGTCTGTGATAAGCTTGGGGCCTCATGCTTTGAGCTGTTCTGTGCCCGCACAATTCTATTCTCTGGGCACAGCCTCACGCCGCCTTTCCACTTCCCGTAAAACAGGCATGATATTATGTGTCCTTCTTGCACCTTCTCCAGAGCAGTGAAGAATTAATTCAATGACCTCTGCAGGTTAACTGGAGCCCTGGGGAAAGGTGTTGAGGACATGGCCCTCTCACCCTGCCCAGCGGGCACAGAGTCTCCCATTTCTGAGATCGTGACCACAGTTTTGCTGTTGGGTTTTGATACAGGGTCCCAGGCAGCAAGAGAGGAATTCTGTATAGGGGCAAACCAAGGCGCAGGACCCGCCACCCTACTCTCAGCTCTCTGCTTACTTTGTCGGCAGCTGTGAGGCGGGTCCATGGCTTGTCGGCCCTGCGGTCATAGTCCTGAGCATCGGCCACCTCCACGTAGTCACTGAAGCGGATGAGGATCTTCCTTTCCCGAAGTTCTTCCACTGTGGGCCTTTGGCTGAGCTGCAGGAAGGGAGAGATGGACACGGTCAACCAGAGAGCTTTAGATCACTTGGTCCTTCTGTGAATTTATAGGTGTGGAAAATGAGGTCCCGAGAGACAAGTGATACATCACACCGGGAGGGAGGCGCAGGGCCTAGGCGGGGACCCAGGGCTCCGGACTCCCACACCGCGGACTTGTCTAGGGCTGTAAGAGAGAGGTTTTCATTCCTTAGCTACCTCTAGGCCTATCCAGGTGGACAGCTAGGCTGCTTCTTTCTTAATAACACTGCAATGTCTCGGTCTTTATAAGCAGCTGGTCTATTTGTGTGGTTGTGGATTTCCCCACATCTGTCCTACCTCTCCCATCGGCTGACCGGAATCTTGCACAAAGATTTTCTGTTATTTTGGATTTGTGAGTCCACATCCGTATGTCAAATTTAGTGCTGTCTGCAAGATGGGTTTGTAAAATCATTTAGTATATGTGTGTTTTAGACACAGAGAAGTGTATGTGCAAACTCTGGGATATGTAGGAATGGGAACTTGTAGATTTATGAGGTCAGGGGACACCTTGCGCGTCAAGAAGTTCAAATGAGAGGTCAGCCCGCAAATGCAGAGTCGGCCAAGTTTATGCCAACGGAGACTTGGGGTGGACCTGGGATGGGTCTGTGGTTAGGGAATGAAACAAGTAAAAGGAGAATTCCTATTTATTAAACCACCTCCCCGTGTCACCCACTAGTCCCCCTTTTTTGGTACCTTTACAGCGGAAGGCTGACATTTCTATTCTCCCTTCCTGTCACTAGGTTTATTTCTTCTGGAGCAACACAGTCGCTCTCTCTTTAGGATGCTATCAATTCATGTTTAACCGATATTATTTTCCTCCAAGTCCTAGAGTGTATTTAATTCTATTAATAGAAGATGTAGTCAGAATCTTACCACAAAGGCCTATAAAACACACACACAGAAGTGAATGAATCCATCCACCCTGGCTGTTTGACTCTATCATGCAGCTGTCATGCACCTTCGCTGGTGCCAGAATGCTCCAGCTTGCTGCCAACTGGATTACAAGGGGGAAGCATAATTAGATGACTGCCTGGTTCCTATTAAATAGGATTGTGAGGTGTTGCAAGGCTCTGGACAGGACCAAGGCAGCCTGCTTGCTCAACCTGCAAGGCAACCAACCCTGTTGGTTGGGGTGGGAAGATCTGGGGATCGGAGGCCTCTGGGGCTGTGGCATAGACCAACTTGCCTAGACTGCAAGCAGCTCTCCCTGAGAGGTTCTAGTCTGCCCTGAGGAAGTCTGGTTTTCCTGAGGCACGACATGATGGCGTCAGTGCTGCCCTGTCACAGGGAACGACAGGTCTCCCAGGCTCCACAGCTCGGGTGGCTGGAAACAAAATGGCCACCATCCTGACTCTAAAATGTGAGTGAAGGGAGCTTTGTACTGTCATTAAAATACATAAAGACATTTAATGCTTACCATCTTTACTCCCAGATAAAGGATTCCTACTCAAAATCCCCAGTTTGTGTTACTTAGGACTAGTGAGGTTTACCCCAGGGTGTTGTACAAAATGGTATTATTTTCTAAGTACGCCATGACAGGAGAAAGGTTCTTAAGTGTGGAATTTCTAGTTTATATTTCTGGATATAAATCATGACCTGGATTTTGCTAATAGCTTGTCAAGGGCAGAATCTGGAGTGAACAGAAAACGAAGTGTTAGCTCTGAAGGTCAGGGACTATTTTTCATGCCTGAATCCCATGGGAGCTTTCGACGCAAGCTCTCCAAGTCAAAAAGGCACAGTGCCCATGTGCTGAGGGAGGGAGTGAGGAGGGGACCAACTTCTGCTGGGAGAGGCTCAGGTGGTGTGTGGACCAACTAACCAATGGCCACTGGGACTCTCCACAAGAGTGTGGGCTTGTGTCCCTGGCCGTGTGGGGCTTGGGAGATACACCTTTAGCTCGTGACTGGTTGTAGCCATTGGGGCATGTGAGCCCAAGGTCCTTCCTCAGATGCTGAGGAAATGATCTTAGTGGCCGAAGTTGGTTTTCTGGGAATGATGGATTGGAAGAAGCGGTAGGGAACAGGGGTTGGTAGCACTATGTTTCGATCTGTGGCAGCAATAATAGAAATTGCAACCAAATACTCAACAAAAGAGTAACTAATTCAGACCCAAATACAATCTGACCCAAATGCATTTCTTCCTCCCTTCCTCCCTCCCTCCCTCTCTTCCTCCCCCTTCCTTCCTTCCTTCCTTCCTTCCTTCCTTCCTTCCTTCCTTCCTTCCTTCCTTCTTTCCTTCCTCCCATCATTCCTCACTTCTTCCTATCCATCTATCCATTTAGTTAGCTAGCATTTTTTTTGGAAGAGGGAGAGAGGGGTTTACTAAAAGACAAAACGTATAAGTTTTAGGTAAGTCTCAGTTTGGCTGAAGAAAACGGGTTTGCTGCTATTAGCATTAGCTACTGTGTTTTATTTTCCTTCCTAATCCATTACAATTAAATAGAACTGTATTGAGGAAATCCTCAGTCTGAGGGTACGTGACTGAAAAGAAGCCGCCATCACTGGCATCTGGTCTTGGTGTGATAAGGGCCCCAAGGGAAAAGAACTTGCCCAGAGCCAGGAGGGGTGTGGACACCCTACCTGCTAGCAGGTTCACATCTCTGTCAACAAAAAGAGATGTGAACGCTTCTTCCAGTCTTTCCCTTATAAACAGTGGGTCCTTCATCCCAGCTCATTATTTCTGTAATTCCCCAATCTAGTCTCCGGGGATGGAAATGCTGAAAGTACAAGGCAGTGTTCCTGGGAGGAGGAAGGAGAGGAAATCAGGAAGAGGGAGAGGCACTGATCTTGTTTTGGAGACCTGCAAAAATTATGTGCTATTTGGGGTATCTGTTCCTAGCGTTATCCACCCCAGTAGAGGTGGATGCAGAGGGAACCCTCCTCCCTTGTCCCCCTGCAAAATCATGAAGTTAGTCAAGTTTTTTATACAAAATCGTATACTCTTATTAGAAAGATAAGAATTAGATGGATGTTTAAGTGTTTTCCTATTACTAGTTCTTACCACGAACCTGAAACTTTAGGAGAATTTTCCGGTCCCAGCAATCAACGCCAATGAACTTTATGAAAGCTGGATTTAAAAAATTTTCTGAATGTCTAGACATTTCTGTATCAGAATTGAGCCTCATTTTGATGCCATAGTCATTTCAAGGTCACACTTAGAACCAGCATCTCCTCCATCCTTCTCACTGCTCAGTCTCAGGACAAGGGGTGTTTGGCATCCACAGACTGGGTGCTCATAAGGATGTAAAGAACCAGACCATGACTGGGGTGAGGGCACCTGGATGAAGTGAGGTCACAGATCTTGTTCTGGTCCCCACCAGGGCAATGTTGGCCTGTCATGAGCCTTTCATGCACTTGTTTATCCCACTCTTTTTCATTAAGATGGCATCTGGTTTGTCACCAGATATTTGGGATGCTTTAAGGGGGAGAAAGCATTGAGGAATGTAAGTCATCACTTTAATAATTGGTATGATATTTTAGGATCTCTGAATTTCTTCCTTTGCATAATATTTCTAGGGAGAAAAATCCATTAATATAGGCCTTTCAAAAATTAATTTTAATGGGTTTCTTAACTGTCTCTAAGATTTGAGAATCTTTCTCTTAAGATGGTCACTGTAGGAGGCTGATTAAAAACACTCTAGCCAGACAGAATATAATATTATATCTTGCGTGTCATCAATTAATTAAACTTGTCAACATCATCCAAGAATAGCCTCAAATAAGAGTTTATTATTAAAGAGGCCACTCATGGACAATTAAATTCATTTGTGTCTACACTGCATTGTTAAGCTATCAATTTCTGGGGTTAAAGATATATAAAAATTATAGCTTTATAGCTTTTATTTAAGTGCTTTTCAAACATCTTCAATAAATTTATCAGTACTTTTGGCATTTTCCTAATTCAGTAATCCAAATTGGATTTAGTATAATAAAGTCAAATAGTTCTTAGTTAATAGGCAAGCAACAGTATCAGGGGAGGCCAGGAAAATGCATACTTTCCCAAGGTCATAGCAAATAACCGTGTTATATTTGAAGTACTGATTTTGACAATGAACTTCCAATTGCTCAATGGGGCTATAGTGCATTTTAAAAAATAAACTATTCACTGTCTTTGAAAACGTAATGCGCCTGACATCAAGTTGCTTGGGTGCAGGTATGTGTCACAAAATGAAGCAACACAGAGTGTGTCTCCAGCCAAAAGGACAGAGGGTCATGAAGCAGCGTTGACCATGGTCCCCTGGAAAGGTCCTATGGAGTCAAGAGCGCTGCCAGCTCTGACAGGAAGGCTGTGGAACCATTATGTGGCTTTCCGAGGGCCAGGCGGCTGCGAGGCCACGGAGCCCAGCAGAGCACCCAGAGGAAGAGGGCGGCCCACCCTCTCCTGTCCCAGCTCTTGGTGGAGAACCTGCTCACCTTTCGGGTTAGCCTCCTCTTGATCTCCCTTTTCTCCTCTTGTTCCTCTTGTTCATTCCGAGCTGAAAGAAATATTTAAGATGCTTTTGATTTTTGTAAACAATGTCACGCACAGGTGCATCCTCTGAACCTCAAAGGTTCAGAACCTCCAGGCCAAGCACCTCAAAGTTTAAAAAGGGGAAGAGAAAGCTGTCCCCTACCCTGGCCATTCTGCTGCCTATGGGAACGCTTTCCAAACTGCCTGCATTGTTTCAAGTTGGTGGTGGACAGGCTGACCTTCGTTGTTTTTTGTTTTTTGTTTTTTTCTAAATGTCACAAGGGGTTTCAAGTCTCCAGGCAGGAGTGCTAGGAAGAAGTGTGGCTTACAAGGTAAGGATGTAGGTCCTAAAAGAATGTGGGTACTGTTAGCAGTGACATGGGCATTTGGGGAGAGGTGAGGCTCCCTTTTTTGGACAAGACTTGGGCCTCACTCAACTCTGCCTCAAGCCTCACAGGGGCTCATTGTGAGATGTGGCCCTCATATCTGGTGCCCTGTGGGAGTAGAACAGAAGGCCGGCCCCAAGGAGGTGCCTGCCACCTGTGCAGATACAAAATGAGGTACAGCTAACACCAAATGCAATGCTGGCTGCATGAAAAGGAATTTCAAAATGCTCACCTTTTGCAAGCCCTGATTCCATTAATTCTTTGACTCTTCCAAGAAGTCCCCAGAGCAAGTGTGAAGCCAGGGTGTGGAATACAATTGCCTGCATTTAGACTTTTAAGGACATTTTCAGTTTAATATGTGGGGTCTTCTCAGCAGATGTTTACAGAGCCACAGGTAAGAGAGTCTGGGAGAGGGAACAGAGAACTGGAGGGCTTATTTCTCCTTTTAAGCTAACTGAATGACCTTGGGTACATCAATTTCCTTCACGGCCTTGGAATGGAAGTGTAGTTATAAGCAGAATATTGTCCAGCTTGAAGAAAATCATGAAAGTCAACCTGTGTCAAAGAAGGTCTCTGATTCTCACCCACTGAACTGAGAAGCAGGCATTTGCTTCAAGCTGATTTTGGCACAGGACACAGGAGGAGTGCCCTGGGTACTTGCTCTCTCATTTTGAAATCACTGGTGTTAAATTATGTTTCAATAACTAAATAGATTGTATCAGTACACACCGGCGAATCAGTTGTCTCAGTATAGGACAGATCTTTAAATGTGGGAAGCCCCTGTGCATAGAAGTGGGGTCCCACCCTGCCCCTCCTTGTCCCTGACAGCAGCAACCACAACCACAGCCAAGGCACACGGAAGGTGGCAACACCTCCCACTAGAAGGAAGGATGGCAGTTCAGAGCAGACATCAGGCACTTGCACGACACCCGCAGGGGCATGACTGGGCTGCCTGTGGGATGGGGATCTTGACCAGCGGTAGCACCAGAAACATACACAGCCTGCCGAGGGCCGAGGTCACCAGAGGTCTCCACTGTGCTTGCCCCACAGTGCCCCCTGACTGCCCATACTGAAGTGTTTTCTTTTGGATTGAAAGATCCTCTAGCACTCCTAGAGTTCCCTTTAAAAATGCAAATTTCTTTTGGATAAAAACCCATGAAACTCGTCCACCTTTAATATCTTAGTATGAACTAATCTATTAGAGATAAGCTGGGAAGCCGACAGCAAGACTCAGAGGAAGGGAGACCCCAGACAGCTACATTTGCAGGTGGGAGGGAGGGAAGGAAAAGTCTAGTATGAATGGTGGGTACTCAGGAGGCAGCACCAGGCACTTGGTTAAAATGTACAAACTCATAGAATATTAGGGCCACGAGGGCCCGAGAGACCACCGGTCTACCACTCTTAGTTTGTAAATGAGGATGTGAAAGTCCAGGGGAGTTCAATGGCTGGTCACACGCTACACGGCTAATTAGTTAGACAAACAGTCCAGCTCTGTTTTCTCTCCTCCCCATCACATTTTGCTTGGGGCCAGCCCTCTTCCTTATTACACGTTACTGGCCTCAGACTCCAGTCAGGGCTTCCTCACGCTACAGGCCCCTTTCCAAGCTGCGAATGTTGGCATTCTGTGACAGAACCTGGGGCTGCCTTCTCCTGTGTGCTTTTCTGAGGTCCCCCTCAAGGGCATGACCGCAAGAATTTAGGGAATCTATACCTTTAATTCAAAGCCCAGGGTCACGTTTTCTGAGGCCAAGGGTATACCAAAGGCAACCCCATTAAGCAACTGGGAAGAGAGGCCAGGAAAGGGCCATGATGTCATCACCTGCTGCCACCATCAGAGTGTGCTGATTATGTGCTCAGACGTGCACAGTGTCTCATTGGCTGCTGAACAAAGCAAGCATTGCCTATAGGGCTGGGCAGGGCGGGGCTGGAAGTCAGACGTGGACTCAAGCTTTACTGCAGAGCCATGATATCTGTGTACCTTCTCTAGCACCCTCAGAGAGATAGTTCCTCAAATGATTGAAAGCTCAGAAAATAAGTTTTAGAACAATTTGTCCAAGGGTCTTTTCTTATTTCACTGAAAGTTTCTTTTTTCACAATCAGAATAGATTGAAAAAAAAGAAAAACATTTAGGAAAACAAATTTCTTGTTTCACAATCAGAATCGATTGAAAAGAAAAAAAAGAAAGAAAGAAAGATAAAGATATTTAGGAAAACAAAGTCCCAGAATGCAGGGGGGAAAATAAGAACCAATGGCCAAAATAAGTTTATTTCTGAGAAGGTTTGGAACTGTGACATGATCAAGCTGTTTGAATTTGGTCAAGTAGTTCTTTAGTTTGCAGCTATTTGAAGAGGACAAGAAGAGGAAATAAAATAGAAGGGAGTATGGGGACAATCTTTTAAGCTGCTTTGGTCCCTTGAATTTAAGCCCCCCAGGCTTACTTGATATATGTAACTACCTCTAAGATTTGAGTATCTTTCTGGATGGCAATGAAAACCCAAACGTAAGGCACCAGCCCGTAATTTCCCAGTGATCTGGGTCAGCGAGAGGTGGGAACCCGTGCCTTCAGGAAGCCAGAGGTAAGCTGGGGATTTGACCCCCTCTCTCTCCAAAACCCTTGCCTTTGATGACAGAAGCACTATTTTCCGAAACCTGAACAATCCCCCACTTCTTAGCTTCTTTCAGTATAAGAGTCAGGTCGGAGGTGACAAGTACAGTCTGGCCCCATCACTCAATGGTACAGAGATTCCCTCAGAAGACAACAGGTCCATGTTGGGCCTGTGTGTGGGGGCAACGCAGCAGAGGAAGGAGGGAGCATGCTTACCTGATTTGTGACTTTAGAAATAAATGAACACCTTTCTCTCCTACAATGGAGAGTTTATAATAGATCAAGTATCAGGTTGGGGCAAAAAAGGAGACCTCACAAGGTCAAGTGCTTTCTTGACCATGGAAATTACTTGAAAAAGTTCTAACTCTGTTTTATAGCATATTAAGCTTAGAAACTTTAATGGGCATCCCTTGGTTCAAAAAATATACATACACATAAATTCTTAGAGACCTAGGAAATATGTGAGGTGCACTCTAGACTGAGGAAGGCCAATCCTGAAAAGAACACCCGAGGGCCGGCCGAGTGGCTCAGTTGGTTAAGAGCTTGCTCTAGAGTGCAAGCTCTGAGCAACAGCGGTTTGAGTCCCAACCCGAGCTGAGCTGCCAACAGGTGGCAGGATGGCTCAGCTAAAAAAAAATAAAAATAAATAAAAATAACACCCGAGAGGTGGGGAAGTGGCAACTGGCCTGGCGCCGGGAGGCAGGGTGCTGGTGAGGCAAACATCACGCCAGTGGGTGCTCTAGAGGGGCTGCCCACTGACACACCTCCTGGGGGAAATTCAACAGCTCACCCTCAGTAAACTATTTCATGCTGTCCAGGTCACAAGACCACAACGAATTGGGGTAGCAAAGTAAAATCAACAACATTTTAGTTTGGTCTAAGTGGAAATACCCACACACACAGACTGCGGTTTCACGTGATTAAGATGAGTGTGAGCACACAGCATAGCACAGTGTTTCTATGAAATTCTGCATAACATGTTATTTCTCTTTTCTGGGGAGAAACTAGAAGGGGATGTGTGTGTGGGAAGAAAGGTTGTGAATTAAACTAAAAATATTATTTGTTGACCAATTTGAGGAAAGTTGGTGAGAGTGGTAGTAATGATCAAGCAGAATGGTAGGAGTTTTAGTTTTAGATTATTTAATACTTCCCACCAAATTGAGGCATACTGATGTCTGTGAGATGCTTGGTTTCCTTTAGTATTATATCTATATATATTTTTAAGCACCAAGTGGATTCTCTGTACATATTCAAATATCTTTGTATCCTAAATCAAACAAGGGACTCGTTTATATTTTCTTTCCACAGCCACAGTGACAGCAAGTTTTTTCTGAATGAGAGCATTAGGCAAGGACGCCATCGGCCAGCTGTGGGGGTCCTGAGAGATGAACACATTTTCCCTTGGAAATGCTTTCTTAGATTTTAAAGTTAGTGTCCAAAGGAAGGGAGTGGGATTTGATCAACGGCAGCCAGCTGCAATGGAAAGTCACATTTCTAGTCCCACCTTTCAAATGGCTATTTGCCTGATTTCAGTCACTAAGGAATTTGCAGTTTTTAAGTCAATTTTGATTTAAGGGTCACCCTAGCTCTCCTTAAAATCATTGAATAGCAAGTTCTCTCACAATCAATTTTCAGCGTCTCTCTGACTTTACAGCCCGCCGTAAAAGGTGGTTATGGCAGCCTATGAGCTTATAATGAGCCAAAAAGATCAGAAATTTGCCTCCTAGTGGGGAGGTTGTCTTGGATGTTCTAACGCAGAAGGATGAAGCCTCAGCCATCAGACACATTCCCCATCATTCCCCACAGGCACAAGGGACAAACCTTGTGGCCTACAATTAAAGCATAACTGAAGTCACCACGAAACATCAGGAATTGCCACGGGCTTAGTCACTTACGTTTCAAAATGTTCCTCTGCTCCAATTCCTCTGCAGTCGGCCTCTGGCTCAGCCGCCTACGGAAAAAATCCAGGAAAAGTTTTTGGACCATATCATATCCTCCTCGGGTCATTAATCTCCCCGGCCCTCGTAGATACAGGAGACAGAGCCAGTGGCTGAAGTTCTTGTTCCATCCTGGGCTCTGAAAGACTGACTTTCACCACCAACGCCTCCTCAGTTCCTCAATTTCAAGCCCTGGAAAGGCGCCACACGTCATGTCACGCTGAGCTGACCCTCCTCCTTCCTCCCTTCATCGGCCCCTCCCCAGCCCTGTTCCTCTGGTGCCTCCAGGCAAAGACACTGTTCTCTTCACAGAAGTCCCTTTCTTTCCTCGTGGCCTCCTAACTTTGGGACCTTGCCTCTGCCTTTGTCTCCCAACCCTGAGACTAGAGCTTGCTTCTTGCCATGTTTGTGTAGACCCAGTTGGAATATAAAGAGTCCTATGGCCCCAGGGCGATGCAAGAGAGCGAGTCTCATCTGCAAAGAACAATAGCTGTTCTTCTTGTCCCCACCCATCACCACCCAGCCTTATTAGACATGGAATGACAAATGAACAGGAGCAGAGTGACACTCCTGTTATCCAGTGTGTAATTTAGCCATAATAAGTGAAGCACAGCACGGGCATGAATTTGCTATGATGCAACAGAGGCCGTTGGGGGTTGGGACAGACATGGGTGGACACCGCATTGTGATAAAAGTCGCCAGAGAATGGGAAGGGCACCAAAGAGAACTACATGCTTGTATGCAGGCACAAAGTTCCAGGAATGGTCAACACTAACATGGTGGACCTCAGCATTCACAGAGGTGTTTGTACTTTTGAAGTTCTTGAAAATTCTGTAACAACTGTGCAATTATTCAGCATTTTGCTTCACCCATTGGGATGAGGTGTGTGAGAGATGAGAAAATTATGGAAGGAGTTTGTGGCTCTTAGAAGTCCCTCACTGGGGCATATGGAGTAAAAAGGACCGTTCTCCTTGTAGTAGAGGTTCTAGTACCTCCCCAAATATTGGCAACTAGTGTCTCTAGTTGTAAGATCTTTACATCATGGAATCTAAAGAGAGACAGAGTGAAAACATGAAGTCCATGCAGTCACCAAGCGTAAATATTTTAAATTCAAGGCTTATTGTCACTTGTAGTTCTCTTTATTGCGCTGGGCCAGAAAACAATTGATTTTGTGATACCTCAACATCATTTGTAGACAGCTAGGAATGGGCTTCAATGCCAGAGAAAATTTTTGGTCAGATGCCTAAATTCTATAGCACCCTGGAAACTGCTGGAAATTGTATTCTAAAGTGTTTTAAGTTTATAAGACTATTTTTACATTCATTACTCATTTTTTTCCTCTCCAAAGATCCCTTTAAGGCATTATTTATCCCCATTGATAGATAAGGGTCAGCTGGGTACTTGGAAATTCTCAATATCGAAAGTTCTAAATTTGGACCCAGCAGTCTTGAAGTCCTTTCCAAACTAGCATTCTCACACTGCAGGAAGAAACTTGAGATCACGCAACGGAGCAAACTGGTGTTATAGGTCTGGAATGCAGCCACTGACTCCACTTAGAACGAGCTTTTTAGAGATTCTGTCTCACCTTTCAATTTAGGTTCCCCAGGAAAACTTGTTTCTTTCATGGGGATGCACAGCTACCTTGATGGGACCATTTGGTAAAACCCAGGCATCCGACGAAGCTAGGGTTTTGGGGGCAGTGTGTTTCGAACAAGCCCTCCAGAGTCAAGGTGGAGCTTGCATCTGGGAAGTTGGGCCAATGCTTTGGTCTTATGCTCAAAAGTATCTGTAGAACATTCCATTTTCAAATGCGTTGCCTGGTTCTGTGCTGGCTATTCGTTTCTGTTTTTTTTATAGGTCACGTTTGGAGGGGACAAAACAGTGAGTGACTCAACTATAAGCAGAGAATATTCTGTTATGAAACAGGAAGCCTTTTAGTCAAACACACATGATTTCTAATGAGGTTCTTTATGCTTCATTTCTCTTGAAAGGGTTTGAGAACCTCAAGGCTAATTATAGCTATAAAATGTAGCTAAGCCCTCCCAAAGGACGTGTGCTATAATCAGTTGTTTTGACTTTAAAAATGAGATTTGGTAAAAATGATATTGTGGCGTTGTAATGACAAAGCACTAAACAACTCAGGAGTTAGGGGGGTCTGGGTTCTAGCTCTGGCTCTACTCTGAAACTACTTTCCTTGCACAAGTGTTTTTTTTTTTTTTTTGAGGGGGGTGGCCTATGTTTTTTTTCCCTGCAAATAATAAATAGTAATTTAATAAGCTAATGCTGATTTAATGCTTATAATGTGCAGGCATGGTTCTAAGAACTGTATGTGAGTTAATTCATTTAATATTCATAGAAGGCTTTTGCAGTAGTATGTATTGGGTTGTCGGAAAAGTCATGATGTATTTTTTCTACGTTTTTCATTGCAAAAATACGTCATGACTTTTCCGACAACCCAATATTAACACCATTTCCATTGTACAAATGGGAAAACTGAGGCAAAGTTGCATACCTTGCCACAGGTGACACAGCTAGCATGTGACAGAGCCAGGACTTAACCCCAGGTATTCTGTCTCTATAGTCTGAATACTCTTAACCAGTGTATTAGCTTCCTATTGCTGCTGTGACAAATTAGCACAAATTTAGTGGCTTAAAACAACACACATTTATTATCTTACAGTTCTGGTGGTCAGAAGTCCCAAATGAATTTCATTAGGCTAAAATCAAGATGTTAACAGGAGTGTGTTCCTTCTGGAAGAAGGGGAGAATCTGTTACCTATACTTTTTTCATCTTCTAGAGCAGCGGTTCTCAACCTTCCTAATGCCGCGGCCCCTTAATACAGTTCCTCATGTTGTGGTGACCCCCAACCATAAAATGATTTTTGTTGCTACTCTATAACTGTAATTTTGCTACTGTTATGACTCGTAATGTAAGTATCTTTTTGTTTTCTGATGGTCTTAGGCGACCCCTGTGAAAGGGTCATTCGACCCCCAAAGGGGTCGCGACCCACAGGTTGAGAACCGCTGTTCTAGAGGCTGCCTGCATTCCTTGTGCCTCTTCTGAAACAGCAGGGTAGCACCTGCCAATCTCTTTCTCTCTGACTTTGACTGTCTTGCCTCCTCTTATAAGGACTCTGTGATTACATTGGGCCCATCCAGACAATCCAGAATAATTTCAGCCCCAAATCCTTAACTTAATAACAGCTGTTCTCAACCCACTACAGCAAAAGTCCCTTCTGCCATGAAAGGTTACACGTTACAGGTTTGGGGATGAGGGCATCAGTGTCTTTTTGAGGGCTGCTATTCTGTCTACCATAACCATAAGACCATACTAGTCGGAAGGTGCAAACTGATGTCTGTTAGGCTATGTTTGACTCTACAAGTTCTCCTTGGCATGCTCTGAAGAGATCACATTGTTGTAGAGAATAGATTGTGGGCATGCAAGAGGCAGTTTGAGTAGAGGCCTTAGAAGGCTACTGACCACCAGGTAGAGGATGATGGATACTTGGGCTAGGTTATGATGGTAGGCATGCAAGTTCTTAGGAAGTCAAGCTGACAGACCATGGAGACATAGCGCATATTAACAGGGTGGGAAGAAGAAGGTATATAGGATACCTCTTAGGTTTCATAACTTATACAACACGATGGATAGTAGTGCCATTCATTGAGATGAGGAACACGGGAACCAGGGCACTTTGGGGGAGAACAAGGGAAGGGCACATGGGAACCATGAGTTTGAGTTTGGATCTGTCGAGTTGTATGCCTGTGCAACGTCCAAGGAGAGATGTCAGGTAGGCAGCTGTTTAACTGAGCTCAGTGGAAAGAAGTCTAGGCCAATGTGTGACTAGTCTGCAACAGCGATAATATTTGAAGCCAAGACTATGGAGACAGCATAGAGTGAGAAGAGGATGGGGCTTAGGACGGAGCCTTAAGGAATTCCAATATTTAATGCCAGGGTAAGGAAAATGAACTTGTCAGGGAGTTAGAGGAGGGGCAGTGCATGGAGATAGGATACAAACTAGAAGGTCACATCGTGGAAGCAAAGTGAGAAGATAGGCATGGTCAACACAGTGCTGAGGTCAGCTAAGGACTGAAAAAATGTCCGCTGGGCTTAGCATCGGGTAGGTTATTAACAACCTCTCCTAGAGCTCTTTCCGGGGTGGTGGGGACAGAAGCCAGGCCGGAGTGGGTGGAGAACAGAGGTGAGAAAATGGACATAACAAGTAGGCAGGACTCTTCCATGAAGACTGGCTTTGAAGGGGACCAGAGAGTTGGAGTTGAAGGAGGCTCTAGCGAGGTTTTTATTTTCAAAAGGGAGAAAACTGAACATGTTTAATGGAAAGAATCCAGATTAAGTGGTGGTTGTTGGCAGTGAGAAACTAAATATATAAGGAGGGAGAAAGCTCAACTGATAATGCAGGAGTCCTGAGGAGGCAGGGGGAGTTGGGCTCCAAGGGACAGAGAAGAGCTTACCTTTCACACGGAGAAGGGAGAGCTCTTGCACGTGACAGGAGGAAGCGGGATAGAGGGCATCATATGCAGGTTTATATGTTTGGGTATTGGAATTAACAAGAGAGTTGTTCCCAACTGGTGGCTTTTACTTGCTCTTTCAAGTTGGACTACAATAAAGATGACCTATATTAGTTTAAAATATAAACTTTCCTTGAGGGATGTGTCTTTGAACAGAGCCAAAGTTACAAACCAGAGAGACAAAGCTCTAGCTTCAGAATTCTAATCATCAGAATCTTAGGGGAGCGCCCGGGGCAGCCTGCCATCTTCCCTAAGTAAAGCAGCCATCTGCTTGGTTCCTTTTAAGACCTACCTTGTGCAGAAGTCTTGGTTAATATTAAGCTGAAGAGCAGAGCGTAATCACTGTATTAACGAAGTGGTTAACTTTATAATCCCAAGGAGCCGAGAGCTCCAAGAATAGAAGTAGGATGCCTTCTGAATGTACTGTATCTCTTACACCACCTTGCTAATAGATTTAAGTACCGTATTTCCCCATATATAAGAT